CTGCATTTTGATTCGTAATCGAGGATAGATGTAGGTGTCTATGGGCCACAGCAACCACTTACCATCAGGTGGACTGTGTGCTCGTTTGTCACCCTATCCTACAAAAAAAAGGTTAAGTTAATTTTACTTACTTATTTATTTATTTATTTATTTACAATCACGAAAATCGGAATGATGAAGCTTGGAGTTAAGTTATATTCACAGATGGTCCAGATTTTGCCTGAAGCCAGACGATGAAAGGGTTAAGTCTGTAGACGCCGGGAGACCTCTCTCCCGTATATCTATAATGTTGAGTTGTACTCAACATTATAGTTTGTTTTTTCGTCGTTTGGAATTTTAAATTACCGACTAATAAGCAAATTCTATTTGATAAACTTTATTGTTACAAATATCCATAATATTTTGTTTTATATACACTTTTTTACGTTCCTCTTAATTTGTCCATGATTGTATTTAAGTTACTATATCTTATCAAATACATAATATTATACTACATGACAAATTATCGTTAATTTTACGGATTGGTACCATAGTAAATATAAAAGGCAGTTGTTTTGTTTATCATTTCCTAAAACCGCTTTTATTTATCATCCATTCATCCATATTTGGCCGTGGAAGGAAAAGGGGAGATCCCCCGCTGGGCAAGATGTTCAGCCCCGGAAGTGGCCAACGCTCCATGTGGCCGTACGGAGCTATTTTATATATATCGGAATACTTAGAAAATTTCGATAGCGTAATTTAGACTTCGATATATATCACTTGAGACTGACGACAGCGCTACTACAAATCCATTACAGCCCATAAAGTTCACTGCTGAACATAGACCTTCTTCATAGATTGTATCTTAAATGGATGGGGCAGTGGTACAGAAATCGTATCTCGATTACTTCCAAAACCGATCTCGCCACCTGCAGCCATATTATAAATATATACAATGCACAACGATGAAATTTTATGCCTTTATTAGTTGAATTACACGTCCTTGATGAGTTTTTACTACTTTTTTTTACTATTTTGCTGCAGTTCACCATTAAAATAACATAAATTCACGTACGTTGTTCTCTATGCAACTAAATCATAAAATGGTGAATTATGTTCGTCAACACATAATAGCGGCCACAAGATCACGCGTCTATGCGACTTCTATTTTCCCATTATTACGATTTATGTGGGTAGTGGATTTGCTTACGCCACCTCTATAAGACTAGTGATTTTAATTTATATTTATCACATGCTAGGCGATGAAGAAAAACTTCGTTGGGCAACCTGAACCCCTGAGAAATAAATATATTTTGAAGCAACGTGAAGTCCGCCGATGCGCTTATGAGCAACGTGGCAGACCTCCTTGCTATGCTGGCGATGTTTATTTATTTTCATAATTTTGTATTTTATTAATCTTATTAAAAAAAATTGAAATACTCGTATATTTTTAAAATCGATAATTCTTTAGTTTAACATAATGTACAGCAATCTTTTCGATCGCCACACTAGCAAAGAAGAGCAATGTTCCTTGATAGGCAAGATTCTTTGGTTCCACATGCATTAGAAAATATCGGTCTTAATTTCTGCAAAAAGGCTACAGATGACAAAGAAAAACATAATCAAAACCTTGTTAGATATAATAAACTTGTAGCTGAGAAAGAACAGTAGGAAAAAGAAGTTAATAATATGAGAAACAAATATTATGACTTAAGACAGCAGTATCAAATAGCAGAGAAAGCACCTAGTAGATATACTGTCCCACTCGACATTAAGGTATGATAATATAGAATTCTTAAAGACAAAAGTTAGTATATTAAAACTAGTGGATAGCCAATTAAAATTACAAAAGTCACTTAAAGAAACATGCACTATTTGGAAGAGCAACAAAACTTGATGATGTTATTCTAAGTAACAATGATGATTAAGCGAAGAAAATAATAGAGCATATTCTAGATAACAGTACACTAGAAGTGGATGTTTAAAATACACTTTAAATTCAAAACTACTTTATTCAGTACGGGTACAACACGGGTAGTGTTAGGGGACCCCTATAGAGAAATACTTCTGGTTAAAAGGCAATATTTCTATTTTTGGAATTCGATTAACCGAATTGAAGAAGGACCGAAGAACTTCTGTCGCATCCGGCTCGAAGAATCATATGTTTGCCCGATATCCAGATCTAGAATGCGGCAAGAGCTCTAGGGTAATGTATTGTTACGAGCTTAGGGTTCGTGACAGTAAAAACTGCCGATTGAATTACCAAAATTGACACTTTAATAACTGAACACCAATTAAAACTTACATCACACTAATAATTAATCACGCTTAACACTTTAGTTCACTTTATTTCACTCCGAAAGCTTCGCTCGTATCGCCAATTCAATAGTGCCCCGATTGCAGCTTTCAACGGCTTTAAATAGGTTCTTTCCACCGAAACATCTAGAATATTCCAGCAAATACTGGTCCCGACCGACTAGGTGGCGAAAGTTCGAGTGTGAAGTTTTCCAGAAAGGTTCTTTTATTCGATACTAGATGGCGCTGGAGGTGGAAAGTTCCAGCATGGCATTTTCTAGAAAGATCTCTTCTCTTTGTTCCCCGACAAAGGGAAAGAAACCGGCGGACGATGCGGGCGGTATCGAAAGGCACTGTCTTCTGCATTTGAGCCTGGAGCGGTCCGTCACGGAGTCCCAGTCACCTCAGATGTCCCGAGAGGCTGACTGGGATTAGCCCATTCGCAGAGACGACCACAGGAATAATTTCGGCCGGCATACCACCTCACATGTCACATGTGAGCCAGGTCCAGATATTTTGTTCGTTTATCTGTTTCGGCTTTCACGAGGTTCTCGTCATACGGAATGGTAATGTCGACCAAAAATATCCTTGACTGTGCCCGGTTCATTAGCATAATATCAGGCTTATTCGCAAGAATAGTCCTGTCTGTGATGATGGCCCGGTCCCAGTAGAGCATGGCGCGGTAATTTCGAGCACGGCTTCCGTTCAAGTACTTGTAATACGGCTACTTGTATTTCCGATCCACGAGACCGTATTTCAGAGCGAGCTCCTGGTGTAGAATTCTGGCTACTAGGTTGTGCTTGCGCAAGTACTCAGAGTTAGAAAGCGCCGAACGACCGGAGATGACATGCCTAAGTGACTCCCTGGGATGGCGACAAGCTCGACAGACGTCGACGGTGCCATCCTTTAAGATGTATCTCCGATAGTTGTTGGTCTTAATAACCTGATCCTGTATTTCACAGACAAAACCCTCGGTTTCCCGGAAGAGGTCACCAAAGCGTAGCTAGTGGAGCTGGCTACTGTGCTACTGGCTGGAGTGGGCTACTGTGTCTACGAAAGGCTCATGTAGAGCCTTGTAGAACCTCCCGTGGAGCTCCTTCTCCTTCCATACGGTGTCCCGGCCGGAACTGCTCTGCACTGCCGGTTCTTGCCATTGCTCGTTGGCTAAGGATAGAGGGGTAAGTTCTTTATCACAAAAAATGACGTCCTTATAGAATGGATCATCCGATCTCGCCAGGAAGTAATTACGGAGGCTGCACACTTCGCGATTATGCATGGTGAGCGCGCTCAAAAAGCCACGCCCACCATGCTTTCGCGGCAAGTACAGCCTCATTACCGACGATCTCGGATGATGCATCCTATGGGATGTCATAGTAGTGCGGACTTTTCTATCCAGGGCGTTAAGTTCAGTCTGAGTCCACCTGAGTATGCCAAAGGTATACATGAGGACAGGCATGACTCAACCGTAATATGCGTGTGTTTTATTCACACAGGACAAAAAGCTGTTAAGAACTTAGGTCAAGCGTGCATAAAACACGTCACAAACTGACTGTTTCATACCAGCCTCATCGATACCGATGTTCTGTGACATACCCAGGTATCGGTATGTTTCAGCCTCGGAAAGGGTCCTTAAGTTGATGGGCATAGCTAAGTCTATGCCCTTAGAGTTAGCAACCCTTCCCCTTTCAACATGGAGGACCGCACACTTATCCGTCCCCAGCTCCATTCCAATAGAATTGCTAAATTCACAAGTGATGTTTAGCAATTCCACAAGATGGGAGCGACTGGAGGCGAATAACTTGAGGTCATCCATATAGAAAAGGTGGGTCACTTTTTTACCTCCTTTCCGAAGCTGAAATCTCCTCCCGGAGCCCTCCAGTAAGGTACTGAGAGGGTTCAAAGAGAGGCAGAACCAGATTGGACTCAGACAGTCACCTTGGAATATACCCCTTCTTATCCTTATGCGGCTTTCCGCAGCCGTCATCTCCTCGCTTAGATGGCAGTGGATCGTAATACACTGCTCGAGGAGGTCTCGAACTGTACAGTCAATCTCGTACAGCTCGAGGACCCCCTTTAGCCATGTATGGGGCACCGAGTCAAAAGCCTTTCTGTAATCTATCCAAGCGGCGGAGAAGTTCCGACGGTTGCGTTTCACTACTTTGCCAATGACCGCGTCAAGGAGGAGTGGTTCCTTGGTTCCACGACCGCCGCCCCGACATCCATTTTGAGCGCGCGACATCACCTGATTTGAGTCCAGGTGACGAGTGATTCTCGCGCTCAAAATGGATGTTAGTGTCTTGTGGTTGTGGTATGGTCGGTAGACACGAGATGGGGCGGCATTTGCTCGGGTCTGTGGCACCCTGATCTTTAGGAACCTAATGAGTGATCCCAGTAGTGAAGAGGTTTGGGAGCAACTTCTGGTTGAGAGCCTCTTGAAACTGTCGCGCGAGCACAGCGTGACACACCATGAACCCCTTCAGCCAGCAGTGATGCAGCCCGTCAAGCCCCGCACTTTTTCAGTTAGGGGCCCTACGGACCGCCTCAGCTACGTCATCCGGCGTTATGATGACGGGGTCCATGGGCGTAATACTCGTACACTGACTCGCCACAACTTCCGTCCAAGGGCCCTCGTTGTGGTTTACGGGCTCTGATCACAGGCTGCGCCAGAATGCGACCGTTTCGGCTTATTCAGTGCTGGGCCCGTTCCACTTACCCTTGGTCTCCCTCTACCTCTTCTGATCACTCTGGATCGTCTGGAAGAGACGATTCTGGTTGAACTTTGTCGACCTCTCGGTATATCGCTGAATCCGCTTTCCCCTAGCAGCGATTCTTTGCTTCAGGTCGTCTATGCGCTCCGTCAGTTTTTGCATTCTATTCGGCTGGGACAAACTAACATTTGTCCCAGCAACCGCCATCCTGACGGTACGCACAATCCTTGGCCTGGTATTGCCTGACCTGAAGCATATCAGTCTGCCGATGAGGACCCTAGCCTTTGCGATACGTTCTGCAATTCTCATTCTCCAGGCTGGTATAGCACTACTTTGTCCAGTAGCGCGTCCAGCCGTGGAAAGTTTGGCGCCTATAATACGGCAGACTGCCAGTGCGGCGCCAAAAAGAATTGAGTCCGTCTCGCAAAGGTCCCGGCTGGCTTCCAAATAGATCACCAGCATTGGGTTCAGAGCCCTTACGACAGCCCGATTCCGCTTGCTTAGGGCTATGCGGGGAAGTCGCGGTCGATTTTCGAGAGGCGTACTGCGCATTTCCACAATCGCCTCTTCCAATGTACTCCTCATTTGGTCTAGTTTTAGTTCCTGGTCGACTGTTCCATCATTGTTTAAATCAACCACAACTGGGCCACAACATTTTCACCTGATGAAGGAACAGTCTCACGTCGTAGCCGTTCGAGTACGGTGACATCAAATGTATTTGAGCGCAAGATATACCGAACTCGGTCTGCCAAGTTTTGCTCGGTGACGATTACAGATGGCTCCAGCTCAGCAAAAAGTCGATGCATCCTTGCCCGATACGCAAAACCTCCAGTTTCTCCCCCTTTCGCCCTAAAATACGCCCGCAATGCGTTGCTGTTCATCTGGGTTGTCCAACGCATTTGACGTACTCCACCAGTGGCGGGTGACGATTGCTGGGCCCGCGAAGACCCTGCCGATACCAAGACAGCTGGTGGGGATGATGGATGCGAGGGGCTGCTGGGTGGTCGTGCAGCACCTCGCGCTCGGCTGGCGGTTCACATGCTTTCGCGTCCAGTGCCAGCTCCAGACGCGCCCTCGTGATCTCCAGGCAGCGGCCCTTTGCGCGTTCTATTTAATTCGATCATCCATTTTACAGGGCGTCATTTAACGGGAGACGCCCAGACCCGGCGCCGTTTGATGGTAAGGCCATATGCACAAGCGGGCCCTTGCACCTTCAATTTTTGCCGAGGCACGGCACTAACACCTCTTGGCAAGGTGCTGGCGGACTGCGCTAACGTAGCGGTTTTATCACATAACCGTTACGTCAGCGGGCAATGGGGTCTTCACTTCCCTACGCCTCATTGGTATATTATTATTATTATTAACGACCACATCATTGGTCCAATATGGATTGAAGGTCGATTGACGGGAGTAACGTATCCGCAAATGATACGTTCCGTCATCGACACAATGTTGCAAAACGTTGCCCGGAGCCACCTGCAAAGAATGTACTCTTGTAAAGAATGGATAGGTCGCAGTTTTTTTAAAGAATAAGGGTGACAAACAAACACACAGTCCATCTGATGGTAAGTGGAAGCTGTGACCCATAGACATCTACATTTATCCTCGATTAAGAATCAAAATACAGATGCATCGTCACCCCTGAGTACTAAGATGGAATGCCTCGTTTTCAGTAAAAAGGATCTCCGGTTTTTTTTCTCTTTATTAGGTTCGCCAACAATTGATAACACTAACACATCAAATTAATACAATTACTCAAAAGTATTAACACAAGTGCTACAATTACTTAAAAGTAAACTCCGCATGCATATAACTTTATAAAAAAACCGAAAAAACAATAAGTTGTTCCTCAACTAGAATTAAATACATATTTATTAGTAAGAATAGTGCTACATAAACTAAAAAACTTAAAAGAACTAAGAAATCTTTACGCTATTAACTTATACATTAACGGAGACACTTAGAGAATGTTTTGGGTGAGTCAAAGTGAATGTCGATTTGATCGCTATATCCATTAATAACTTTGCAGAACCTGGCATAAGGAGAATTCTTTCCCAAGACAGTTCTTCTTAATGATGGACTAAGTGGTGCAATATAGCTGCGAGGTAATCTCGAAGGTACATGAAACTTAAAAAGTTCCATTAAACTGGGGCAATTAAATGTAGAATTAAATATTTTATGTACAAAAACTGCAAATTATACTTTCTGCGACTCTACTAAGGTTTTTAAATTAAAATGATGCAACTTACTATTATAGGACCGTAGCTTTTTTGCTTTACCAACAGAAAATGCTAGGTGTCAGAGGAACCGCTTTTGAACACGTTCAATACGTAATGAATGTGTAGCATAGTTATAAGCGACAGTAGCCTAATGGCAGGGCGCTGACCGCGAACTCAAATAAAGTCGTGGGTTCGAATCCGCCATTCGACTACTGTCGTGAACCACTCGTAACACAAGCAATTTAAGCTTACCACTGGTAGTTAAGGGGAATATTAGTAATGTTTATAGCATTGTTAATATTCTTTTTAAAAAAATAGTGTGGTCTCCAGACCACACTACAATATTCTAAAATATTACGAACTAGACTGTTGTAAAGAAATATTTTGGTTTTGTAATGCATATTATTCGAGTTCCTTATGACAAAAACCAACATTTTAGATGCTCTCATAATTATGTTATCATCATCATCATTCATTTATCCAAATGGTTAATTTTTTATCATATATTACGCCAAGATCCCGAATGGTCTCTACTTCCCTAATTCTAGTATTATGAATAAAGTAATTGACATGTATTAAATTTTGTTTTCTGGAGTATTTAACATGATAACATTTACTTGTATTTAAGTCCATTCTGTTGTTGCAGCACCACTGGATTAGTCTATCAATGTCCCTTTGTAATAATTTAGTATCATCATCACTCTTAATTATTCTCATAAATTTTAAGTCATTAGCATATAAAAAATATTTTGAAAACAGAAAACATGTTTTAATATCATTTATGAAAAAAAGAAATAAGACTGGTCCCAAATGAGAACCCTGAGGAACACCGGAACTTATAGTTTTAGTACTTGATTGAAAACCATTAATTGCAACTAAGAAGGTCCTTTGAACTAAATACGATACGATATTCAACCATTTAAGTAACGAGACACAAATCCCGTAGGCACACAACTTAGAAATCAAAATCTTATGCGAAACCTTGTCAAAAGCTTTGCTAAAGTCGGTATAAATAACATCAGCCTGATGTCCCATGTCAATAGCCTCGTACAAGAACTCCGTAAAAGGAACTAAATTCGTACTAGTGGACCGAGACCTAAAGAACCCATGCTGATGGTCACTTATATAGAGGCTTAAGTGCTGTTGAAGATGATGACAAATCTACGACTCAAATACTTTGGCAAAGGTTGACAAAATTGAAATGGGTCTATAATTGCAAATGATATCGATATTTGACGAGTTATGTATGGGAAATACTTTTGTTATTTTTCATTTTGAAGGAAACATGCCAGATGCTAAAGACAAGTTGTAAATTATCAGGAGGAGGCACATTCTTTTATAAAAATTGGTGATATTTCGTGTGGCTCTGCGCTTTTATTACAATCTAGTCCATTGAGTTTTTTTTTAATTGTATCATGTTCTATTTTTGGATTTGAGAGACATAAGCTGTTATTTACTAGTGATTATAAGTAATCGGACATGCATTCGTCATAACTATCGTCATACTCTGGGCTATAAACGGAAGAAAAGTAAGAAGAAAACATTTCACATATAACTGAACTATCTGATCTGGAGGATGATACATCGCTCATGGTTGTCGGAAATGTACTTGACCCACCCCTTTTGTCTTTCACCATGGACCAAAATAGTTTGGGATTTTTCGAGAGTGAATCTTCATATTTTTTAGATAGTGATTGTAACACTTAGTTGCTAAGTTTTCACAACGCTTGCCTATAAGTTTTAATTCGATTCTATCTAACGGATTTTTGTATTTATTATATCGATTCCGTATCCTGCTTTTTTCATTCAATAATTTAATAAGTTTAAAATCAGACCAAGATGGAAATTTGTAAGTTTTCGATTTATAATGAGGTACAAAATTTCGTACTGCTATGTATAATATTTCGCAAAAGATCTCTAGAAGCTCATCCACATCACACAGTCCATCAAACTTCTCTATCCAATTTATTTCTCGTAAAAATTTACGGACTAATTCGTAATTTGCTTTATAAAAATTTGGTCTCTTATTATTGATATAATATGGTAATCTAGTTTCATTATCTCCGTGAATCACAATATTAAGAGGTGGACGTTGTAGGTCAATTTTACTTAAAGCATCGATAGTTTTGCTTACACTACAAGATGAGATCGTTGTTAAAACAAGATCAAGTATACGACCGGCTATGTTAGTCACACGATTGTATTGAACGAGGTTGTTAACGTTAGCAAAATTTATCAATGTTTGGCTAAGATTTGGTATTGAAGTATAGGTTTGGTTTCCTATAGGACTCCAATCTACATTACTTAAGTTGAAATCCCCCACAATACAAACATGTGAGTTTACAATCTGTTCAAAAACGTTATTGCAATGATTTATATAATGCTCTAGTACAGTACCTCGTACAGGTGGTAGTAAATAAACTACACAAAGAGCAATTTGACGGATAGAATGTGACAAAGGAAAGTCCATAATAACCCATAAATCTTCACAGCTACTTTCCCAACACTTAATGCGTTTCAATTTAATATTAACTATAAATACGTATAGCAATCAGCACTCCTCCTCCTTTTTTACGGCTTTGTAGATTGGAACTTTCTCTATCCCTCCTGTATACCACGTATCTGTTATCAGACAATTCACTATTCAGTACTGCGGTATTCAGCCACGTTTCTTTCAAAATTATGATATTGTAATCATTACAGCAAACGTTTCGATCAAATGTTTGTGTTTTCGTATTTAAACCTCTACTATTCTGGTAATATATCTCTAATTTTTTGAATTTTATTCTGATATTTCTGTTACTTGCACAAAGTATGTAAGGATGTGTAGATATACGTAAGTGAAGGTACGGTTCACACCATATTGTATTATAACAGCTTTTAGCTGCTATTTTACGCTGGTATTCAGTGAGAGCGTGGTCCTACCACCGTTGGTACCCATTCATGCTACAACTAATATAGCTGCAGCGTAGCTCTAAAACAAGTAAAGTAAAAACAAAAAAACAAGTAAGTCTCTCGTAAAAACAAGTTGACCTTGTAACTGGACTGTAAGGTCACCTGACCTAACGTGTAAACTTTTATATGTAGGCCGAACTAAAATGATTGGTGTACACAGAAGAAGCGCACGAAGTGTTAGTGAAAGTTTAACAAACAATTTACAAAGACGTGCTAGTTGGTGTTAAGAAAGAAAGGGTAGAAATTTTGAACAATTACTGCGATACCGCTAAAAATTTTATTTATTGTAAACAACCATAATGTAGTATAATTTTGTAAATACCGATCAGTGTAATTTGTAGCTAAGTTGATTTCGACCTTTAAAAAAGTCTGAAGCGC